ATCAAAGTGCCTGAATTGACCGTCTTATTTGAAACAGTGCAGCAGTAAAAGCCAAGATCTCGTTACCAAGTTGACGTCCACCCGTCGCCAGTCCCAAAGCATAACTTCGCTCAGCAGTTGGGAACCACCGAGTTATCAGTGAATTCACCGCCGGTTGTAGAAGGGCATCCGCAAATCCGACGAGAAATCGGCCGGCTATAGCGAAATAGACGCTGAAAATGGGAAACAAAAGCTGGAACAATTGAATTTTCAAGAGACTGCTTGAGAATTTCTGAGAGTTTTTTTTTCGATTTCAGAATCTCTAGAAAGTGATTTCTTTTCTTTTCTTTTCAAAGAGAGTGATGAACCTTTCAAGAGGCTGAATTTCCTTTTTCAAATTAGTATACAGTAAATAAGCCAAACTGAGCAAAAACTCACCTCACAATGGAGAACTGCGCGATCATCAGATTGGCTATGACGGCCAAACTCACACTTGCGACAATCATGTACTTGGCGTTGAACTTGTCTGCTATGAAGCCAGTGATAAGCATTAGCAGCAGGCCGACGTTGAAGGCGGAGAAAATATAGCCCTAAAACAGAGAGGGAACTTAAGGTGGCACTTTAAGGCAATTCAGCGATTGAATTGCTGTGTGATACTGTGGCTTAAAAGGAAAGTAATTGTGGTTTTTCGTCAAAAAAATAGAAAGTGAAGTGTCAGTAGTGAAAAAAGCAAAAAATATGGCCAAGAATCCCAATATTGCACATGGGCGAGATTTGCATCTCGTCCTTGTCGGACTTGGTAACTTCCCTCTCTCTACTGTACTCAAATGTGCAGGGTACAAAACACGGCGACAAGGGCACGCTGTATGGAATTCTATATTTGAAAGACAGAATTTACGATGAAAAGTTAGCTCATTGGAAATAAGGGTAGAGGTGGTCAGTGGAGCAGGGATGAAGAAGAAACCATTTGAAACGGCCCGAAACCCGAGAAATGGGACCCCTTCCTTGCCCGTTGATTTGCATTGATGCGACTCTCATCGCTGTGCCCTCTTCAACACTACGCTCTCTCTGCTATCTAATCACTCGCCACGTATAGACTGCGGCGAGTGATTAGATTGATCGGTGGGTGTACCTCGCCGACGCCGTGAAAAATGAGCCATGCAAGATCGCCGAGGTCAAATATTTCGCTGCGGTTGTGCGTCGGTCAGCATCCTCAGGATGTCCGCCTGTCTCCCACCTATGCAATTTTTCCCCTCTCTGACCTTAGATATTATTGTGAATTCCACCTTCAATGTGAAATTTGAATTAAATTTAAAAGTCTTTGAATGCAGATTTTGTGTCTTGCTTCAGTTAGATCTCATTTCATAATTCTACCATTAGAAAATAATTGTAACATGGGCCTTTCTTCCGCACGAGGGAGCTTTCGTTTGCATCGTATATACAGGGGGGGCCAATAAAAAAAAGACATTTTGTCTCCGCGCTCAGATGGATTTAATCACACTTTGCTCAATTCAAATCGAATGAGCCTAGCTTGGTATTGAAGAGCACATTTCATTCTATAAGAAAAACTTCTAGTGGCCACCTACGTGGGTGGCACCAGAAAAATTTGCCCTGTAAACATGGTGCACTGGTCGAGCTCAATGGGGTCTTCGAAGGATCGTGTACCATAACGACCCTTACTGGAAAGCTAGTTCGAGGGGTTTGCATAGTGGAGCTAAGGTCCTCTAAGAATTATCCAACATTGAATCGATTCACGAAATCACGTAAGAGCTTCAGGCTGAAGCAGTTACGGTAGGCCTCCTTGAGCTTGACGACGATGACAGATGACGTCATATTCTGAAGACGGTGAGGGCAGTGGAGGAGGGCCTGCGTCTACTTATAGAGGGACATTTAGAGGATAATTTGCTGAGGAACTCCCGTCAACAACGGCAATCTTTGCGAAGATAAAATGGTTGAAGTGCGAGATGGGCAAAATGTCTTTTTTTTGGACCCCCTCTGTATAGCTGTTCGATGATATTACCCGGACCCGACCCGGAGTGTACCGGAAGTCATCATCATCACAACACTCATCAAGATAGGTACTAAAACGTTCGGTTGCGACGCATCAAATGGTTGCTGTGGTTTTCACGAGTAGTATTAACAGGGTACGAGGGAAGGTCCACAGGCGCCTCTTATAGCTCTCTCAGCAGGTGGGCAATCATAGGCCTTTAGGTATGGTTGTCGTCATAGTAGCAGCTATCAACAGCAACCAGCAGTCACTGTACGGTCAGTCAAGCTTCCTGCTTTTCTAATATGAATAAGTATCTGAGTTAGCATTATACTTGTCCAGTGACGACTAATGGACTGCTCATTTTGTGCTAGAAAACGCAGTCAGCGCTGATTGGCGCTTTCATTCGACTCATCAAGATTAGTATTGGGCTAAAATTTCCAAAAGTTTAGTAGCAATGCACAGCAAAAACAAGAAGTATGGATAAAAAAACAGACTTCCTGATCTGATGTCCAGCGGAGACGAGGTGCAGCCCCGTCCTCAATTGTGGTTTGATTGTCGTCCACAAACTCAGTCGAGTTCACCATGCAAACCACTGCCATGCCCATATTGCTGTTCATCATGTGGACGCTTAAATAGAAATTTTACCTAGAGGTTCAGCAATTTTAATATTCGGTTTCTCAAAGTAGTCATTCAATTTTTGAAATATGGAGAAAATAAAAACATGGCAAAGTTTGTCTAAAGCGATCTCTCGCAGTGAATAGTGTAGTAGAAATTCGTAGTCGCATAGATAATACAGACCAGTGATTAGGTGGTGGCAACTGCCACCATCAGTGCCGGAATGGTTGAGATGAAGAAAAGTTACCTGGCAAAACATAGGCACAACAAACTGGATGTGAGAAGTCGCCAACTCGGAAACCAGCGATACACGATAGGGCGAGGTGCTGGTGGTAGGCCATCGCTGACTGGATGTACAGCAGACATGCTGCGCAGCAGTTGATCTGAAAATCATGGCTGATTGACATTTGAAAGGAATAGGCTCGAGGCATTAGAGTTTCCCGCATTGGACAGTTTGAAGCAGGCTCAAAAGAGAACAAACAGTGCCTACTTTCATATTTTCGAAGGAGGTTCAGGTATCGGCCACAGAAAAATCGTGATTCTATCAATCACTGATTTGAGACCCATTATTCACGATAAGGACGAGAACAACAAAAAATTGCGCTCGTTTTGGTAAAAAATTCGAAAAATTGGGGGGCTACGCGTTCAAATTCCACGTACATCTGTCACAAATGCTGGCGACGGGATGCTTCCACTTGGTTCTCGGAGTGCCTTCACTAGAAACTCTTTTGGCCTTTTGCTTATTGCATTCACATCTCTTTTCTACTGCATCCTATTCTTTCGATGTTTTGTCTCTATTCTCCAAATTCGAACGCTTAACCCGATTCTTTCAAGGAATGGCTTTATATTTGGCCGCCCGAGGCGCTTTTCTTTCAATGCGTTCCCTTGTTTCCTTCGGCCTACCCTCCGACCGTCCATGGAACGTGGTTTTCGTAAGTTTGTTTCTCACCAGAAGCTGAATGTTCCTGTATGAAACTTTGTACGTTGTCTCTAGTGGTCACAGCTGACATACATATTTGTGTTGGGAAAGAATGCAAGGAGTTCCGGGGATGATTTCTTTATAGGAAACAGCAGGCTTGTGGAGAAATCTTTATCGCACAGAATAAGCTGCTATTTGTGTGCGATGAACCACTCAACGTTTCCTCAAAACTTCACATTGTCAAAGAAAAATCAATAGAAATCACATTATAGAAGCAGTTGAGTGATAAGGGGCGGGGAGAAACTCGCTTTGAGCAGAGTGTCTTCTAATCTGAAAATAATTCAGCAAAAAGTCGCAAAAACCTTTCATTCGGCAGGAACACAATTATTTCATAAAATTTGGAATTTGGTCGGAATTTTGGGGCTGCAGTATGGTTTCGTGAGAATTTTGTTTCACACTTTCAACATTTTTATATCACCTCTGCTGAATTTGAATTTTGTTCAAAAAGAATGGTACGTACTCTGTGCAGACCTGTGCAACCTTTTTGCTATTCTTTTGTTATATTGGGAACGGCTGCTATATTATTTACTCGTGCGTGAAGAAGACA